TGAAACGCAGAAGTATAAAACTTCCGCTTCACTCCAGTCTTCATACTTCTCGACAACGTTGTCACTTTACCCCGTTAGGTTAATAGGTTTGCGTGCTTTTATTTTATTATTCCGTAGTGTGCGTGTTTTATCGATGTACTTAATTGGGTCAATACAAGGAGGTCCTGTAGGGTCTTCGAATGCGCGCGGCGTCGCAACGTCTGGAACGTGCGTTATTCAGGACAAATGCCCGCTGACCGCGATCCCCATCGATTGCTTTGTTACGCCAATCGCGTCTCTTTCCCGGTCTATGTGACCTGCTTGGTAATTTCATTTTCTTTTAACGCTAACCGTTATTAACGCCCTCGTGCGTTCTCAATGGCCAGTGTTGTAATCGTTCTATTTTTGAATAAATTGTTTGCATTCCTTTCATTGTTTGTTTATATTTAATTTTAACTTTGTAAGCAATTTTCAGATCAATTAAAAATTAAAAATTTGAATATTACGACAAAAAAGTGAATTATGAAAATATTTGAATAATAGTGTTCTTTCCCGAATTAGGTACAATTTTTTTTTATACAGAATAATGAATATTTTTTTTTATTAATACAGCGATATATTTGTTCATTTTTCTTTCCGTATTTTAATCACACTATTCCGTATACTCTACATAATTATGTAGAGTATATTGCAGTCTTACGATTGCAGACAATGCGCACTGGGTACGTTCCAAAACGCGAACTGTTTTCGGTGGCTTGCCAACATTCCGACTTAAGCTGCCGTCTGGCTTTTGTGTCCTATCCGATGCCTTTGTATCTTCTACGTTTGAGATTGTTTCTGAATTTTCAGAGAAGATTTTTTAATGTGAAAAACTGCCAAGCGAGCACGCGTTTCATCTGATGTTAAGTGAATACCTCCGCCCATGGATCTCTGATGAGCTGATACACCCGAGGGTTACGTGGCCCTACCACAGTCAAAATTACAGATAAAAACCAAATACATCCTTAAAATAATCCAAATACCTACATCATTAAATTCAGTTTAATAACATTTAACAGCGTATTTGACGATCTGTAAGTTGTTTCAGTTTACACATGAAAATGTTTCTCTTTTGTGTAAAACTTTAGATTGGACAACAATATTTTTATTTCGAAGAATATATTTTTTAGAAAAACGGATATTAGTTATTCTGTCAGGTTCCTATTTGAACGTCTGCAGAACATTACACGAAGAATTTTTCTACATTACTCATTATTAATGTTAACTCTGATAACTAACAGCCTACACGGGATACTAATATGCGACTGTCGCTTTTCCCGTGGCGACTAATCGGTGCCGGAGACAAACTATATTTCAAGACAAACTATTAGTCGCACCTAAGTTCTTACTATAAAACTAACAACTGTGGAAATATAATTACTTTAGGCCAAGTATGTGTGGAAATGACTCTTGCTCTGCAGTTGCAATTCAACTGGCTGATGCTGAACCTAAATAATTTTGTAAACTTGTATCATTAAAAATAACAAGGGCGTAAGGTTTGTTGCCGGTTTTTCTCAGGTCAGGTCTAATTTAATGAATCGCCTTTTTGTCATTCACTAAGAGCTTAAAATAAGCCTTAATTGAATAAATAAATTTTGACTTTGTCTTAATGGCATTTAGAAATAAGGTGGACAATCTCTGCGTATAAAAGGTGTACTTCGACGCGACATATTGGGATACGTGATATAGCAATGGGTATTAGTGGTGGTTAATTATTAGTTACCGTGGTTAAAAGTCAGTAAAATCCAACTTGGCAAATTAAATAAACCACCTTTGTTATCACCATCCAAGTGTGTTTCTGTACCGCTATTTGCTACTTACCCTTTTTAACTTATCCCCATGTAAGATTGTCCACCGTGTACACTCAATAGGTACTACCGACCACGTCATTATATACCATATTTAACTTGTCCAACGTCTATGTACATTGCTAGTTCTTTCTTTTGATTATCCCTTGCTTCATGACGTGAATTACGTAATGAAATTTCGCTGGAAGCTAACATCTTTGATTGCAGTTCATAGGCTACATTTTTGAGTAATACACACGCCATTGAATGTCGTACCTAAAGGGAAATTATTGCGATTTTGCGATTTAGAAAATGATACCTAGATATTTCTCTATAACAACACGGGACGGACTGTCAAATAGTTTAATGTATTTTGTTTGTGTTGTATGTGCGTGTTCTTATCGCTGGATATAAAAATGACAAAGCCCGAATTTATTATGTGTGGACTATAACAAACAGTATGTGTATACTGTTTGTTATAGTCCACACATACCTAAATATTCTACATTCACACTTATGAGGGTCCTCCTAAACGCAAACACTACATAATTATATTCACTCTAAATCTGACCTTTCAGACGGAATGGCACTGACGGAATATTAATTTCGTTTAGTAATGTGTACACATTTACCATTGTACAATGGTCTTGCGGTTCATATAAAAAATGGTCGTAAAATGACCATAATGATTTAAACGCTTCACTCCCGCTACAAGTATTAACTCTTGACTCACTAATTAAGCCACGTCCTTTCGAGGATCAGGCGCAAAACTCGCTAAACTACAATTATCCACCCCGCCCGACCTAATTTATCTCAGCGCAATGCAGTCGTTGGCCAATTAATCGCCAACACAACAAACTAACGACGTTACTCCGACCGTAGCGGTAATTTAAACTCACGCGTCTACTTTACATCTAATTAATTACTTAATAAACTTACGCCGTTGACGGGACTTAGTAATGCGAGGATGATATATGAGTTTTATTATCGTGCAAGTGTTGTGAATGCAAAAGCTTGTGTGTTCTATTGTATGATGACCCGATTGGCGTAGTGGATAGTGAACCTATCTCTTGCGCCGGCGGTTGTGGGTTCGCTCCCCACTACTAGAAAAATATTGTGTGATGAACGTATTACTTTTCTTGTGTCTGGTACACATAGCAAAACAAGCTTCGCTTAATTTGGGACTAGCTAAAGTTATCATTTTTCTTTTACCCGCCGCGTCTGCATGTTCGATTCGTACGAAATTTAGAATTGAGAATGCTTATGTACGGAAATGTGTTAAAATTTAAGTAGATAATAGAATAGCTTGTTTTAGCCTGCGTGATTATCAACAGTATTAACACATTGGCACGCCTTTTTTAGTAAATAAATGTATTTTCTTTCTTTCACATTTGCCTTGTCTAGATATTCCGCAATGACATAATATGCCTTAGCCATAAGTTCACTTTCAATTTGCGTTTTAATTGATCAAGTGGCAGACTTAATATGGACTGTGCTATGCCGCCATGACACTTCTCCTGATAACCCAAATGTGTGCTTTAGCGTGTCGTATACCTTACAGCAATCTGCATCACCTAGATATGTGAGATAAAAATATATTACATTATTTATAATCTACATGGTACGGATTTTTCTACCCGCCTAGTGTGTGTAAACGTTGCCTATGATAAACGCTAATGATAAACGCCGTTCATGGACATTTGAGCGCTCTTATGATTGCAAATGCATTTCCTTTTGATGAAGAGGGCCCCAGTCTTCGGTGAGGTCGTGGTACTTCTACGGACGGACCTACCGAGGTCGGTCCCCCCACCCCAGTTTAGTTTATAAATGTTTACTTTATCCCGAAGTTGGCTTGAATACCGCGATTCGATCCTATTGAGTGTAATTTTTCACATTTAGACCTTGATCGAACACGCAGTCAACATAAAAGCCTACAGTGTCAACAACGCTTTATTGTTCATTGGTTGCGGTTAACCGTCACTCACTGGCCAATTGCAATTTAAAAGTAGTTTTTCTTTTCAATTCTAATGGCCGATTCCCGCGTGCCTACCGGCCTAACACGGGCGCATTGAAGACCTACAGATGTCACGCCTCACGCGTGCGAACTCGATAGCCGTGCGTCCAAGGCATTTGCATTCAAACCCGGGCCCGATTAATTCACCGCTCGCACTGCTATAGAATGCGTCGTAACTGTCGACGCTGAGCGCGCAATCTGTTAAGACGCGTCGACACGATCAAAGTCATCTTGCACAAAATATTCTTGACGAAGCCTTTAGCGAAACGAAGTTAGCTTGGAGCATTTTCTTGCTCCAGCGATAAAGACCGAAACACCAGTGACCATTTACACAGGTACGTTTATCCGATTCCCGCCCGAGTAACCTTCAAAAAGCAAACGAATTAAACGACGCCTAAAATGGCAGTATAACTATTGATGTATTGTCTGTATGGAGCAGAAATCCGAAGATTATAATTACCATTTGAAAAGTTACCATTAAAAAACTTTGATTGGATGTTGTAGATCATGCGCGCTTTGGCTAGCTGTCAAATAATACTATGGTCGTGTCAACGCGGCTTTACACATCATAACGGTGTCATTGCTGTGACAGTTTGCCGCCACAAATGCTTTTTGCTCCATTGTCTCTGTGGTCGGACTTGCGATCGGGTCGGAGAGTCGATCGAGGCAGCCTTCGTCTGAAGCTAGCCGAATTGATGCTTTTTTTTAAGAACTGGCAAAAGACTGGCCATTGTCTGCTAAAAGATAGTTAGACATGTTTAAGATGTATTGGTAATTTAGATACCGTTCTAATGAACTCATTAAAACCAATCTACACTCTCGATAACTTTGATTGGAAACGGACGCCACGACGCGAAATGACAAAACCTTTGCTACCAATACATATTAGTTCCGGTGCAGCATTGTAGGCAACGTCCCGTTGGAGCCACATCTTTGTGAGATCCCTCCTTATTGGACTACAAAAATTGTTGTCAACGTCCGACATAGGTTGGCATTTTTAAATATTTCTGGACACATTTTTACATAAATTTACCCAATTTTCTGGTTCCTAACTAAGTAATAATTGTACTTTCGTTTATAAAGAAATATGTTTAGATACACCCAGTTACTGGAAAAATCTTGAAAAATACTACGTTCACCACACAATATTTTTCCAGTAGTGAGGATTGAACTCACTCCACATGGCGCAAGAGACAGGCTCTCTATCCACTACGCCAATCGAGTCATCAAACATAAACAGTGAGCTCGGCCCCTTTCACAAGTCGCCGGAGCAAAATCCACATCAAACGGTACGGTACTGTATTAGATTGTAAAGGTGATTGTATCTCCTCACCCAACTGGGCTGTTGTCGGAACCAAGTAAATCGTATTTGATAGCTCTTTGTTAGCCCTGTACGCATTGCGAAATTTTCGTTTGTAGTTCCCATTCTCAACCTTATTCGGTCGAATTTCGCAATGTACGGTATCAGGATTGGTCACGCTTCGGCTTTACTGTACTGAAAGTTTGGATTTGTCGTTTGATGTTTACATTAGGTAAACATCCTTTAGGCTATAAGAACAAATACTAAAAAAAAGAATAAAAAAAATTTAAGTGGGGGCTCCCATACAACAGACCTGAGTTTTGCAGTTTTTCTAGCTAATGGTTCGAAACCCTTCGTGCGCGAGTCCGGCTCGCACTTGGCCGGTTTTATTATGTCCATGGGTGGCAATGTCCTCAAAACATGAGGTTACCGTTTTCGACATTAAACTTTTCTACGCTCCATCTCGATTGTACAACACTTGCTTACTTTAAACCGTTCGCCTCTCGTATATCTCGTGCGCGTAACGAGCGCTCCGCGTAAGGCAATCTAGGCGTCAGTCAGTTTTACGTCTCGCCTCCTCTTCACGCCAAACCGCCGTTTGACGGTCTGATTGTCTTAAAAATGGCGGCACACCGGTGACCAGACGCGTTGTTCTAGGTCCAATCTTATTCATGTTCGATATTTAACGCTGTTCGTTTTTAATTTAAAAACAACCAACAATGAGAAACGGAAAACGATTAGTTTGTTCAATTTCGACAATTATTATCGTGGTTGGTTTTTTTCGATTAAGAAAATAATTGTATTAATTATGTGCTCCATACTTCTTCCAGCCTATCGCAAGTTTTCTATGTGAAAACGTGGGAAAAGAACGCCTTAAAGTTTCCCTGATGGTAAAAGATTAGCGCCATCATTGGAGAACGACTTTACGACACAATATGTTGTTTGAAACCACCTTGTTTTAAACAACAACTTGTGGCTGTTAGAAAGCAAGAAATATTCACCCTCTAAAACGCGTTCAGTGGCCACTCCGTATTGCAGTCCATCACAGTTCTTATCGAATGGGCAATCAAATTTCTCAACCTTATCGCCTGGACCACCGCATTCTACTCGTCTAATCGCCTTATACGCCAGGGCCACCTTAGTCTTAATCTATACGCCAGGGATAATCGGTGATGTTGTGGTTACTTCCCCGACGAAACGCAAAGACGTGAATATTTCTCGCCTGTTCAAGACGGCCCATGTATCATCAGCAGCTTAAGCGTTTGATTGGCTTCCTCACAATTCGGCCAATAGCAAAGAGGCGATAAAAATGTTTTCGTTTTCTAAAAATTTTTCATAAATATATCACCTCGTAATAGTCGTTATCTATTACAAATTCTCTAATGTGTCTTTCTTCAAAATATGTGATATGAAAAAGCTCAATAGTAATTCTGATTCCCACGTTATGAATGTCAGTGAAAGCTGGGTAAGGGGAAAGTATTTGTGCAGATTTAATGTCTGAAATACGGTTTTCGTGAATTACTTATGCTAGTAGTATGTAGTTAAAGTACCTATACTGTAGTAGGGAAAAAAGTACCTATACTGTAGTACTGTAGCCACGCAACAGTTTTCGCTGTTGCATGAATGGGCAGGCTCGTCCGGGTAAGTACCACGACCTCACAGAAGACCGGCGTGAAGTGGAAGTGTTACACTTCTGCGTTTCGTGTGGTAAGTGCGGTAGCCGGGGTCCACTTTATTTAAAGGTCGAAACGTATTTGCAACCCTACGGGTGATGCAAATGTCCATTGGCGGCGGTTATCACTTATCATCAGGTGAACAGCCAGCTTGTTTGTCACTTAATGAAATCTAAAGACACAGCGTTATCTAGTCCTAAACTCAGCAGAGCTTGTACTATGGGTACTAGGTAACGGATAAACATACATAAGAATAATTTGATTTATTAAATAAATGTATGCCAAACGTCCATACATAATGTATGATTCCTTTAAGAACCGTCTCTCCACTTAAGATGAAACTTAAAAATGTTTGGATAAAACAATACATTATATACAAATACGAGGTTGATAAGTCACTAGCGCACCTAAACTGAGACGCTCAAATTACACCATTTGGTGTAATTCTATAGACTGCTATCTCTTTCCGTATCATACGTTCTATATTATCTGTCACATTCACGGTCATGGAAATGGGTCATCTATACTATTAAACATCATTGGGATAAAACTGTTTCAAAACTTTTGTAGGCCGTGGCTCAGTTGCCAAGGCTTCGGCGTCGGGCGTCGTGGGTTCGATTCTCACACGGGACAACTTATTTGTGTGACCCACAGATAGTTGTTTAGCATCTGGGTGTTTGTCCGCGTGAAATTTTGTTTGTAAAACGTCCTTACAACGCAGGATAATGTTATCCTAAAGTATGGGCAATGTTTTTTAACTAAAAAAAAAACCTTTTCGCAACAGTTTTATCTTCACTACAAATTAAAAAAAAGTTTTGAGTACAACAATACATTAACTGGGAAATTGTTGCACGTTTTTAAGTGTGTCACGTATGCAAGTGATGCGTGGATCTTTTTTAAATGGACGCGTATGGGTTTATGGGTTACGGGGTTATTGTTCAAATCACTCCACCGTTTCTTTGCTCGTGGGAATTACGTATGCGATGTAGGGCTTGATAATATGTAACGGTGAAAAAAAGCGGTGGTTATTTGATAGATTTGGATTATTTTAAAATACATTGGGTTACATGGTGCCAAGCGATTAATTTGATTTATAAAGGACTAGCTTTCCGCCCGCAGCGTCGCTCGCGTTGAAGAAAAAATAGTAGTAGTAGTAACTTAGTACATTTTAATATGAACAAAATTTTCCACAATGAGCAATATGGATTCACTAAAGGCAGATCGACAACGGATGCGGGTGTCGCACTTGTCAAGCATATTTATAACGCCTGGGAAAGGTCACAAGATGCAATAGGTGTCTTTTGCGACCTTTCAAAGGCTTTCGACTGTGTAGACCACGAAACCCTCCTTCAAAAGTTAGATTATTATGGCATTCGTGACATCGCCCTCAATCTCATTGCCTCTTACCTTAATAATAGAATTCAAAAAGTATCTATAAATGATGTAAATTCCACAGGGTCCCCCATGAAAATGGGTGTCCCACAAGGATCAATCTTGGGTCCATTATTATTCTTAGTGTATATAAATGATCTCCCCTTTTATGCCAGTGAGTTATGTGATGTTGTACTGTTTGCTGACGACACATCGCTCATTTTTAAGGTTGACCGAAACGTGTCGGATTATGACGACGTGAATAGTGCACTTTCGCGTATCCTCCACTGGTTTACCGTTAATAATATGGTGTTAAATGCTAAAAAAACTAAATGCCTTCTTTTTACCCTTCCCAGCGTAAGAAGGCGAAGTTTTAGCTTAACATTAAATAGCGTAACCCTTAATCCTGTTGAGTCCGCTGTATTCTTGGGAATTACAGTGGATTCAAAGCTCCAATGGAGTCCCCATCTATCATCTCTTGCGAACAGGTTAAGCTCCGCTGTTTTTGCAGTTAGGAAGGTTAGGCAGCTATCAGACATCGACACTGCCAGACTTGTTTATTTCAGTTATTTCCACAGCATCTTGTCTTACGGCATTTTGTTGTGGGGTAGTGCATCTGATATAAATTCTATATTTATTCTTCAAAAAAGAGCTGTCTGAGCAATCTATAACATCGGAGCCCGGAATACACTCAGAGACCTTTTTAAAGTGATTAATATACTCACTGTTGCGTCTCAATATATTTATTGTAATATTTTGTATGTTAAAAATAATATTAATAGTTATCTAAAGAATAGTGACAGACATAAACTAAATACTAGAAATAAGGACAAACTAACTACGCCATTGTTTCGTTTACAAAAAGTAAACAGGTCGTTCATGGGGCAAGGTGTGCGCATGTATAATAAAATCCCACAGTCGATATTAAGTCTGCCACTTGATGAATTTAAACGAAAAATTAAAAGTAAACTTATGGCTAAAGCCTATTATTCTATTGCCGAATATCTTGACGACGCCAATGTGTGGGGTTAATACTGTTGATACTCACGTAGGCTAAAACAAGACTATTGTACATGTACTATTATATTGTAAACTGATTTTTTTTTAAAAGAGCAACTGTTGAGTTTCTTGCCGGTTTCTTCTCAACAGAAACTGCTTTCCGAACCGGTGGTAACTTACGAACGTGTTAATTTCTTGTAAAATTTTGACGTTTCATAAGAACGCGCAAGCGTCTATGTGAATAAAGATATTTTATTATTATAGGGGGGATATTCATTTGTTTTCTCGTCTGGTTGGGTTTATAAATAATAAATAAAAATAAAGATATAGATATATATTGCATATATAAAATAAATATTATGGATAAAAATAAACATATATATATATATATATATATATATATATATATATATATATATATATATATATATATATATATATATATATATATATATATATTTTATATAATACATATATATTATATATTATATATTATTATTATTATTATTATTATTATAGCCTTTGTCTTTCCTCAGGCTCTAGACTATCTGTGTACCAAATATCATTTACATCGGTTCAGTAGTTTTGGCGTGAAAGCGAGACAGACAGACGGACGGAGTTACTTTCTCGTTTATAATATTAGTATGGATTTAACGTAAAAATAAAATGACATATAATAACAAAAATAAAAATAGATTACCTTACCTGACTTACGCGGCCCACTCAGAGCTAGAATGTGACATGTTTAAGGCCTATTTGAATTTTAAAAACTGTTTGCAGTAGTAACACTTCGCTATGAAGATGATTTGAAAAACTTCTTAATATTTTTTTTACTTAATTGGTCAGTTTTTGCAACCTTTAATTCCCATGAACACGCAATGAAATGATCCAAATCTGCGCCGGTAATTGGTTCTGCTTAGTGGAGAAAGCTTTTAATGGTATTCCGTTATCTTCTATAGCTCGTCGCCGCCATGTTTAACTTCATGAAGAAGTCCACGGTCCTCGCCCACGACTCGGGCGGCTGCGAGGAGCGCGACGGCGACAAGGACAGGAGGAAGAAGGAGAAGAAAGAACGGAAGGAGAGGGAGAAGCGGGAGAGGATAGCCGCTGGACTTGAGGAGCCGCTGCGCTTGGAAGAGGTGAGTCGTTTATCTCTATATGAAACATCGTTCATGGTTACTTAAAACAATATGAATTTTTTGTTTTCTTATTTTAAACAGTGCCCTCAATGTAGGATAATATTATCACGTGCTGTACGGACGTTTCACATACATAAATTTCACGTGTTCAAAACGCCCAGATCCGAATCTATTGCGGGTCTCATAAATAGTTGTCCCGTGTGGGAACCGAACCCACGACCCCCGGCACCGAAGCCAATACCCTTGACAACTGCGCCACGGAGTCATCAAATTACACAACAGCAGCTTATGTAACAGATCACGTGGCGCTATTCGCTAGGACCGCTAGCCGCATTGTATCGCTGGATAGTTTAGTACACCTACATTACTAGACCATAATCTCCTTTTGCGTTGATTGGAATAAAATTTTTAGTGTTGCGAGAAACATCTGTGTGTTTACGTTATGAATCTTCGATTGTTTAGAGAATTATTTTTGTTTCATTTCGGTTAACCATATCCAAATTTTCTCCAAACGTGAAAACAGCTATTTGAAACCAACCTATTTTAATTTGTAGAAAAATTTAAATCTTAAGTGCAGAGATTAGCACTATAAAAAATTTAAATTATTATTTTCTATTTTATAAAATCCATCGAACCGGTAAGGATGCAATCTGTCAAGATAATAAACATACATAAATGTCTATTTTGACTCGTCTTTATACACACTCGAAGAAAATTATGCACCTTCTGATGCATTCCAGTAAATATCTCTTTGTTAATATAATAATGTTTTCAGACCTAATTCATTTAATATTTATTTTTAATATTATTTAAACACATCCATACTGTGATCCCCTGAGCACGTGTTCTCTTCTCAAATTCTAAAATACTTAAGAACCAGTCTACCGATTCAGACAAGATTAATTTACCGTAAAGCACCCAGTTACCAACTCCAGTTTTACGCCATCAAGCGTATGCAATAAAATCATATACATATAAAACTGAGAACTGACTGATTGTAATATATAGCACGTAAACCGCTATTTTTAAATAACATACCATAAAAAATAGATTCATGAAATTTGAAATACAGTTATAAAAGAAAATTTGGTCTCATTATAAAAAAAATACAAGGAAAAATATACAAATACAAGCGGCGGTAAGCCATAAAAATGATGTATTTATCTATTTATTATTCTTTATGCGTACAAAGGGAGACTTGAGCATTATCTAAATATAAATCTTTGGGTGGCCCAGAGAAGTATATAAGTATTAAAGTAACAGCCTATACTTATCCCAATGTTGGGCAAAGGCCTTCTCATTTTACAGAGGGTATCAGGACATAGTCCACCACGGCGGATTGGCAAACTTCACATATCTTCGAAATATTTTTTTTTGTTATTTCGAAAATATGCAGGTTTCATAACGTTTTTTTCCTTCACCGTTGAGCACGTGATAACTTCAGCACTTAAAATTAACAATTTCATTGGTGTTGGCACCGGGGATCGAACTCGGGTTGCTCTAGTATATTGAATTAAAGGCTATTGCTATTGCACTATCACGGCTCAATCTATATATAAGTAGGTGCATTGTTTATGTAATGTAAAATGAGGAATTATTAAAAATCAAATTAAATAATCTAACATAAAATACATACTAAAATACAAAATTTTATATACACATTCAAGAAATAATGTGCAATAATTGCGCGAAGATTTGTGCGTTTAGACCATGCAACTCATTTATTATTAAGCGAATTTTTGCACCGTGTAGGCAGGGTCTGTGGCATCGACATATGTAAATATGTAATCGTAGAAAACTGTATTAAGCGAATTTTGCAGGCAGCTGGCTGGCAACGACACCTGCTCATTCGGAAACTATCTCGTGCCATTGTTTTATTTTTTGCCCCCGTTTTTACTCGCAATTTAATGTAGCAAAATCATCTGTCGTCATTCGATAGAGTTGTATTGGACGACCGTACGTAAAATGAAACTGGAACTAGAAGTCAAACGTCTCTGTCTAAATAGTTTTTCTTTTGCCTTGTCGCCAGAAATCTATAATCCTACTACTCCCCTACAGGCGTTGTCCTGAACACGAGACTGTAGAACCCGACGACGACACAAAAATTTTAAAAATTAAAAATTAGTGGATCGAATTGAGAATCTAAACCATTTTCGAACTGACCTGTAGACACACAAAAATATCATTAACATCGGTATGCTTGCTTAGGAGGAGTACAGTTTATTTAAGTAGTAGTATAACAGTTATTCAACGAAATAGTTAGACATGGTTATGGTTTGACCGGTTCCAATTGACGTCATCCGGTAACCTTTCAAAACAGCATTTTTTTCATCGTCCTGCAGTATCTAATAAAACGCTATGCGAACTAAAATGCCAATATGTCGGCTACTTCAAGGTCTCGATGCTTATGTACTTTCCGTGCAATATAAATCTTATTGCTTGTGATTGGGGTCAGATTAGGGTCATGGAAACTTGTGATATTTAACATAGATATTAGACCGTCAATAATTTTACATCATGGTGGAAGTATTTAATATGTTTGTGTAAATTTTTAAAAACTATTTTTCGGTTGTCATATTTTGTTATTACAATATTTATAACTTAATCATGTGTATACATACATACTTTCGTAACTGACTTAAAAAAGGAGGTGGCTCTCGAATCGGCTGTGTTTCAATTTTTGTGTTTGTTATCTTACTACTCCGTTATTTAGCGATTTTTTATCATCGGCATATTTATCGATTGTAAAAAACTCTTTTTGCTTTGTGTTCTCATGTGTTCCAATATTAATTTAAATCGACGACCCGATTGACGTGCCTCTTGCACCAGAGGGTGTGAGTTCAATCTGGAAAATATTATGTGATGAACAGTGTTTTTCCAGTGTCTGGATGTTTTTATATTTATAATATGTATTTATTTACAAAAGAAAAGTATGTTTATCAGTTATCTAGCACCCATAGTACAAGCGTTGCTTAGTTTGGGACTAGACAACGTCGTGTAAAGATGTGTCCTGAAATATTTATTTCTTTATTTAATTGCTATTGGAGACACATCAGAGAGCTTATCAAAATCAAAGAGAAAATGTATTGTGAGTGATATATTTGAAGTGGTTTTTGTAAATAAAAGTGTTTTTTTTCTTATTTCAGTTGTCTATACTTAAAACGGTTATCAAATAACATCAGGTGAACCGCCAGCTCGTTTGCCACCTTCTTATATAAAAAGAAAAGTTAATATAAAAAAAGTTTAAAATTTATGAAAAGTTAATAGTTAAACTAAATTGGTACCAAACGGTATTGTGCGAAAAAATCGCATGGGTCAATTAACAAAATACGGTTTGATAAATTTAAAAAATAAAACACAACATAATTGTAGCACTCTTACCAGTCGGTTCCTCCCTGCACTGGTCTAAATAAAACCGGTGTTCAAATAAAAATTCTAATTCAAATTTATTTTATTCAATATAGAAGCATTACACTTACTTATTAATTGTCAAAAAATACTACTGCCGGTAATTTTTTCTATAAGAGCTTCAAACAAGAATATTAAGTTGAAGAAAGATTAGAAAGATTATTTGACAGATAACAGAAACTCACTCTGAGTTTGAAATATTCGTGACGCTTTTGTTGTCTTTTGCATTATGTATGGGTGTGTGTATAATTCAGTTTTTGCATCAATCTCTTAGATGTTAAACGCCGGTTCGTAAATATACCGAACACACGGTCAAATTTTTCCTTGGCCTGGTTTGTTGTATATTTTTTTTCAATATCGATGCGGACTTGTGCTTTCGATGGCTGACGGATCTCATTACGCTTATTAAAGCAGGTCAATTTGGATTAGTTTGTTTTCATGAGCCGGTTATACGACTGAATAAATTTAGCGTTGTTTTATTAAAAATAATTAGTTTATCGATATCGAGTGATCCTCTACACCCTTCACTTTTAACCTTCGAACTGTACCTCTTCTGTTTCGCTGCAAATGTTTTTTTGTGTGAGTATTTACCGTATATGTGTTTCTATCGCAAACAAACTGGCCAGTATTTGACTATGGTTTTCAACATTTAATGGACGGCTATTTGAAAAAAATTGACTATTTTTTTTCTTGTGATAATCTGGAAAGCGTTTCACATCATGTTAATTGGTTACCGCCCATGGACATCAAAACACATGATTGGTTGCAGTTTCGTTGTCAACCTTTAAAAACATTGTACTCCGGTCACCTCACTCAATAACAGACTGAACGCATTAACACTTTTACTTTATGTTGGTTTTCTGTGGTCGTTCATACAAGTTCGGGGAAGTACCTTCCCCGAACTTGTATGCCTGTCCTTAACTTGTTAATTTTTATTTTCATCTACGAACAGTAACGGTCTTCGCAAAAGCTGATCTAAGAATTTGATATAGAAGTTGTTCGTAATATAATATATGCAGTTAGTCTCCACTGTTAAAAAAGTTAGCAATTACTACGTGAAACACATGTGTATTTTGTTCGAATTTCTGGCGCAAAATTGAATCTGGTCACACTGCTCATTACATTTTATTTTCGCAAACATGGCACACAGTATATTAGTGTGAGCGACAGAACTAAATAGATGTCCATGACCTCGTGTAAATTGATTTTTGATATTCAGTAATATAAAGGAAGAGGCAATGTTACGGACTTTCGAATTTTCCAAGCCCCCAGAGCCGAAGATCAAATATATATTTGTACAAATCAAATTTGCCTCGGAATTGAATCCAACATGCACAGAACGCAAGTAGCTGTTCTATTACCGGCAGTAGGTCATGGTTGCTAATTGTTTGATTAAAAAAAATTCTTTCCGACTTTTTAAGTTTTAACTCTGACGAGATAAAAGGAGATAGCTAATGCAATTCACGTTTCACCTGCCAAATTATCCAAACTATAGCTCCGATATAATGTTTATTTTTGTTAAATCGTGTTTTATTTATGTCTCCTTGTATAATGGTGTCGAGGCAATGGCAAACCAACGAAGAGCCACACAC